AAACATTATCGGACCAAATAACGAAATGCCAAAATATCCGCAATCGGTCAGATATCACGGCGAAAATCTCGGCACGTATCAAGGAGAGGCCGATTAGTTTGCAAATCATGAGATCTTTTACCTTTTACATAATTGTATCTAGAGTAGGACTCCCCTACTATATAAAGGGGTGTCTTATTATTTGTAATACACATTGTAACACACATCCCAAAGCAATGCACTCTTATTTCTAGTTCTTATTATCTTATCATTCTGTTTCGTCGTCGATTGAGGCACCTTTAGACTCGAGGGTGGTCAACCTTCAATGCTAAGACTGTTCAACTTGTGTGGTTTGCATTTACTTTTCTATCATTGATTTCAATATTAATTTATTTCTCAATTTGTATCAAGTTAGATCACCTATCATTAAAATCGCGTATAAATTCAATTGTTATCCGATTTTGAGGGTAAATACAAATATTAAAGAAAGTCAAAATCGAACTTCGTTAATCGTTTATTCGCATAATTTTCTCAAAAAGATTGGAGTGACAAACCATAAGACTGCAGAAGTTAGTGGCAGCCAGTTATAATTTCGTGTTGCAAATGATCATTTTCAAGTTCAAAGTCCATGAAATCCTAATACAAAACGTATGTAGTATATGATTTTTTTTCTTTTGTTTTGGTCAAGAACGTAAACATGGTAAGGAGATACGTTCGGAAGAAAATAGAATTATATGAGATCTGCATTGAATATAATATGAATTTAAACTATATGTGTCTCAAAATTTCTTGTGAGTTGATACCGAATTAATCATTCATTTCTATTTCTCAATATTTGTTATAAGGTGGACGGCTAATTAAGTTGATCACCAGCCGAAGTGCAGCAAAGCATTCAATTAATTGAGTTATCATACCTCAATCATGTGCCCATGCCGATAACAACATTGGATAACTATCTCAATCGATTTTCATTTTTGGATCTCACATATATTTGGATATCTTAATTCATTCTTTCAGTTAACATTTTTTTCATTAATGCCCCCCCCCCCCCCTTTCCCCTCCCTAAAAAAAGCTGCTCTTTCAATTTGCGAAGCTAATATTTTTCAATATATATTTTGCTGACAAACTATAGTGGTAATTACCAATCTTTATTAGTTTTTGTTGGGTTTAAGCTTGGTTAGCTTAAAATAAAGAGTGAATGAGAAATGGAAGAAAAAATGAAATATTTGAATTTCCCTCCTTGTCAAAGCGACATTGTCCCATATTAAAGGAAGAAAAGACTTTTGATGAGTATATATACAATTGCTCTTCTCTAGCTCTTAAAGAGTTAAGAAGAAGGCAAGCCTCACGCCATCGTCGTCGTCACTCGGCTTGATTAATATTTTTGGACAATTTTTTTAATTATTTAATAAAATATTAATTAAATTAGCCAAATATCCAACCCGAACCGGATCCGTGCCGGACTCGCTTCACTTTCTTCCTAGATTTTTATTTAAATTTCTCTCCGTTTATTAATGATTGTTCTGAAGAGTTGTGAACTTTCAGAAACAGTACTTCCATTAGCTATAAATTCATTGGATTCCTCAGATTTTTCCTTACGAAATTTTCTGATCTTCTTCTTCTTCTTCATAAAATTTTCTAGTGTATTTTACCGCTTTCGAGTGGTTCGCTTTTTCACCAGCGTTTTTAGTACCAACAATCCGATGAGTTAAATCATTCTATCATGGGAGGATAATATTCCAGCACCTCAGGTACTTGAGGGGAATAATCTTCTTAAGGACACGCTATGCATTTAGTGGGCTCGATTTATTTCAAAATTATTTTTCCAGAAATTATTTCAATATTCTATTGCTGCTAACTTTCGTTTCTGTTTTTTTCTATTTGAGAAAGTTTATATTCATTATAGTAATACAAATTGACTAACAGTTTTTTCTTTAACATATGGCGCCAGGTTACCTTTGATACCAGGCTCTCTGCTTTGAAGTAGTTAAATTGAAACCCACCCAACCCTNCAGCTGTTAATCGGCCAAGGTGCTTCTGGTCCAGGTAACGTATAGGAAGAGGGGCGGAGCTAGAGACTAAGTAACAGGTTTGGCCAATGAAAATTTATCTAGTTATAAACACACACATACATACATACATACATATATATATATATGCATTGCCAATGAAAATTCTAGCGGCTAAAGAAACACAATGAAAATTTCTGTTCTGCTTTCTCAGCTGGTATTTGACAACATAAAGAAAAGAAACTAAAGGGAAAGAATAGTACGTAGTAGTAACAAATTAATTGAGCTCCCAACTCATTTTGTATTGTATTTCCACAACATAATAGAAAAGACGAGATGTACAGATCTTGAATGTAAAGCAAGTAGTAAGAAGCAGCGTGTGGTTTTGGGATTTGACGAAGAAGAATAAAGGGAGAAAATAGAAAAAGGAGAAAGATGTCGTTGACTGAAGCTTTCATACTGTTGGTCTCGACCAATTTAAGTTTCACGTGTGCGATTGTTAAAGAGATGACTATTCTAATATATACACCTATTTATCAGGATAAATATTTCTACTCCATTTAAAAGACACATGTCCTATGTTTACTACTTTTATGTGGAATAAGTTTGGCGAATGTGGTACATACGTTAATAGTGGCGAATATATGTTTAAATTTTATTTAAGAACCATTTATATATTTCAGACTTAGTCACCGAATGTATTGTCGAATTCGAACTTATAACAATCAAATCTTGAATCGGTATATTTGTATGCAATACAGGTAATTATTTACCTTTGCTAAAAATACATGAAACATTCCATCTTAGGTTTTGTTGAAGGTTGACGGGATCGAAACTCTTGAAGTCCAGTCAACTCCTTTTGTCTTTTTTTCTATTTTCTTTTGGATATTATTTAACATTCGTGATTCTTGCTCTTTCGCTATCTAAGAGAAAGTGCGGCTTAATTAGGTAGCTTCGTTACTTTCGGCCAAATTATGGACTAAAATAGTTATTGAGAGATTTTGGACACTAGCATTACATTTACAGCTTGTTTGGATGGTTGTTACTCATTGTATTGTATCGTATTGTTATTTTAAATATGATGTTTGTTTTGATTGTTACTTAAATTTTATTATATCGTATCGTTAAATCCGTCGTTACATAACGACGAAATGTGCCATTTTATGTAACGACCGATTTGGTGTGGTCGCATCGTTACCTTGTATTTTTTTCTCAATCTCATGCCCTTTATTATTATTAAATAATTTTATTTTATCATTTATTATACCTTTTTATATAGTAATTTTGTCCTGTATAATAATTTTTCTTTATAATATTACAAGTTTATTCTTCATAATACTAGTGCGTGATATCATGAAACGATGACAAACGACACAATCTATCCAAATATTATATTTATCAAATGATACATTACAATACAATACAGTACGATACGATACATTATGAAACGATGTGTAACAACAATCCAAACAAGCTGTTAAACAAAGTATATGTACTTCGAAATATACCATTCCCCTTGTATATTAAAGGCATAATACCTCTTAATTACCTCTCTCCCAATAAGATCAATGAAAACAAGAAAGATCAAAGTTAAATATCTCAGTATTGTTGTTGATTCATCGAGATAAAAAGATAAACTAATTACGCCATTTGTAGCCTTTGAGAGCAATTATTGATTTCTATGTGTACATAAGCATGCCAACTTGAAACCAACAAAAGGGGAAAAAGCTACTAACACAATACAACATTCTAAGTTACTTGGTAAAACAAAGCAAAAAAATTAATCATTGATGTGCAAAAATTTACAAATTGAAGGCATCCCAAACTTTATACAAGATTATTAAGGTGATGCTTGTGGTATCTTTTCTAACCTATCCAAAAATATAATACAATTGAATCCAACTCTCTAACTTCACCTCTAATTAAAATCACCTCTAGAGTTGGACAAAAAAGTATGAATAGTAAATTATTTTTCATAAACTAAAACATCTGTATATGGCGTATCTCCTTATTAATCCGCTTGTAGGAGTGTTCAAATCGAATCGGAAAATCGCATCAAATCGAAAAGTCAAACCAGACCGATTAAGTTTGATTTGATTTTGGTTTGGTATTGAGTAAAAAAACTCGAATCCAACCGACATATAAATATATTATTTTTATATATTCTTGTAATATTTTATATAGATTTTTTTTTAAAATATTTGGAAATATTTGGGATCCTCTCATGGTTAATATTTAATAGAATTATGAAGTGCATTCATCTTTATTTACTTTAAATAATGGATTGTATCACTTTCTTATCAAGTGTTATTGAAATGCGCCAATCATCTCCTTGTTCTTCATATTCATATATCAAGATTTCTTATATCTTTTTTAAAATTTTATTGTATTTCGATAATTCAAAATTAAATAGAACATATCATTATTTAGATATCATATTAATTTTAATGTTTAATTATTAAATTCGATTAACCTTGAAAATGTACATCAACGAAAAATTATTGTTAGACGACTAAGAAAATAACTATCACGTGTTACTAAAAATATTCTCAACAACAATAACAACCCAGTATAATCCTACTTAGTGGGGTTTGGGGAGGGTAGTGTCAAGTGTATATGCAGACCTTACCCCTACCCTGGGGTAGAGATGTTGTTTCCAAATAGACCCTCAGCATCATTCCCTCCAAGAACTTCCCACCTTTCTCTTGGGGAGACTCAAACTCACAACCTCTTGGTTGGAAGTGGAAGTTGCTTACCATCAGAGCAACCCCTCTTGTCTTACTAAAAATATTCTCCCTGAAGAATATTTTAACAGATCATACATTTGTCAATTTTTTTTAATTTTTACTAAACATATATTCACTTATCAAAATTTTATCTATAACTTTAACAAAGTAAGAATGAAATAATATTCATGTAATAAAAGAATCCGAAAAATTTGTAAAATCCAACAAAACCGATCCAACTCGATCCATGTACAACCCTACTTCCTAGTTAGCAAATTTAGCAGACCAGATTTTGCAATCTCAATTGGACCGCTGAAGCATCAATCCCTAATCTTGTTATTTTCACCTACAACCATAAGATAACAAGAAAAGCATTGTTTAGTTGCTAAATTTAAACATTTTCCATCATCTTTCATACTAATAATAAACTCATGCATAAATGAATTAATTACCTGAGCGTGGATAGTATAGCAAACCTTATCGCAAACTGTTGAAAAATGAGCAGTAACAACTTGAGCTCCTTCTTCCTCTAAGATGTTTATAACTTCTTGCATTCTGAAATACTTCTTTTTCAAATCACTAATTAAAATCACCTCTAGAGTTGAACCCAATTCTCTAACTTCAACCGCAGGTGTTTCTAAAGTACAAGTTGTCATTACTTTCTCTGAATTATTACTTCTACTTTCACTTGTGCCTTGTGCTACCTCGTCCTTCCTTCTCTTTAATACCTCTACTCTTTCTTTTAATTGCTTAATGTAAGTAATAGCTTGATCAACTTGGTCTTGTTGTGATAGCATGATCTCCTGAAATTGTTTCTCTAGGGAAGTCAGGAAAAGTTGATTTACCGAACAAAGATTATAATTATATTCTATGCATTGAGTCACACTACGAATAATTAGGGGTGTAATAGGTTAAATATGAAGTGCTCCATATTTCTTAACTTTAAATAATTGGTTGTATGATCACTTTCTTATCAAGTGTTAGTGAAATGCGTCAATCTCTTTGTTCTTCCGTATTCATATGTCAAGATCTATTAAATTCTTATATCTTTTTTGAATTTGAAATTCGATAATTTAAAATTAAATAGCACATATCATTATATAGGTTCATATATATATATATTTATGTTTAATTATTAAATTCAGTTAATCTTGAAACCGTACAGCAGCATAAGATTATTTTCAGACGACTAAAAAATAACTATCATGTGTTAGTAAGAAAATTCTTCCATAAAAATATTTTAATAGATCATAAATTTGTCAATTTTTTTAATTTTTACTAAACATATATTTACTTATAAAAAAAATTAACAAAGTAAGATTGAAATAATATTCATATAACAAAAAAAAAAACTGAAAAACCTGACAAAATCGAACCAATCCAAACCGATATAGTTGGTTTGATTTGATTTTGATAAAAATCGAACCAACCCGATCCATTTACCCCCTGCGAATAATATTGAAACCATATTTAAGTTACAAGGCTATAGTTGTCTTAAGACATTGAGCTAATACAACAACTTTTAAACAAGCTAACAGGCATAAACAGAAAATCAAACAACTACTATTTGACAGCTGAATTTCAATCGGCGAGTTTGAGAAAGAATAGGGTTTAAGTTTCATCAAATATATGAACTTTTCTAACGAGCTAGTTTGTACAAATTACGAGTATTATTAAATAACACCTCTCATTACATGTAAAAACAAGTACTAAGGTAATTAGGCATTTTCTTAATTGATTTTCCTCGTAATGCAAAAGCAAATTAAAGGTAGTACTAATTCATCCCGACCGTGTGGTCCAAGAAAGTCTACTGAATACCAGCAATAAGTGAATTTGAAAAATGTACATAACTAGCAAGCTTTTAAAATCTGAGAATTAAAGAACCGTGAGATCCCTAAAATCCCCATCAAAAGGAGTTGATTTGCAATTAATTTCACTGTTGTTTCTTTTTCGCAAGATGGACTCATGAAGTATACTTTTAGTATGATATTTTTGTGGATTTGATTTTATTTAAACACAAAAAGAAGTACTAAAAGGAAAAAGAAGAGGACATTTTCTCCTCTCACTTAACCACCACATGCATGCACAGATCAAAGAAAATATATAAGATCAGAATAATATATAAGATCAGAATACACAGAGATGGTTTAACGTGCATGCGTACCGTAGAGGGTTTGAAGTGGTGGGGAGGAATGAGAGAACTAAGCTTAGAACAAAGAAACTTCATATAGATTCTTCTGTTCCTTTCCACTGTTTTCCTATCAGGCTTTTCTGTACTGATAATGCTTCTTTCCATTTGAATTAATATTGTTGGTCACTCTCTTCTTAAGCAAACCAGAAAGTTTTGATTAAAGTACTTATAAAGGGAAAAGAGGGGAGGAATTATCAAGTCGCCGTTTCTGAAACTAAAAGTGTATGTGTCAACGTCATTATACATGGGGAGTGATATGGATACTTTGACTTTTACCTGTCCCACCGCGCTAATAAAATGTGCAACTGCATATATAGCGGTTGTATACCGTCAAAATCTTATGCCTCTAATTTATAGGCTCGAGGGCCCGTCCTATATCTGAGTCCAGGCAAGATCAAGTTCGAGCTCGAGGGACCAGACCCGAGTTTGAAGGCGGAACATGATGCATATCGAGGTCGAGTGTGTTCGACCCCGAAATAGTACCGTTATGGATTTGTATCAGAACGATCTAGATTTTTGCCACGTCCCCAAGATCATGGCGTAAATCCCGAAATAGGAATGTACGATTCCGTACTAGACGGTTAGATAGTTGTACCAAGAATATTCCTTACTGTAAATAGAAATATTATTTATTTAGGATTCCCCTATTATATAAAGGGGACCACAATCATTTGTAAGATCATCTAATCATTGAGCAAAAAATATACTCTCTATTTTTTGCCCACTTTTCATCATTATTTCCTTTAGCTTAATTGTTCTTACTTTGCTTTCCTACTTAATTGTTCTTGCTGCCCTACGCCACCTCGAGGTCACTAAGCTCGAGGTCACTGCTGCTAAGTAACATTGGTTTGATTCACTTTTATCTTTTATTTCTACTTTATATTTTTTTATTATTAATTAGTATTTAACTAAATCATATATCTTTAAAACCATTAATCAAATTTATTTGTTACTCGTATTTTTGAAACAATAGTAACTCTCAAAATAATAATTAAGAAAGACAAAAGTTCCTTTTTGTTTCCTTCTAATTTTTATGTTTAAAATATAGGGTCTGAAAAGGTTGATTTTTGTGATAAGAAATTTCTCGCGTGGGCATGTACACTGTGGAAAAATTATGATATGGCAATGACATGTCATTTCCAACGCTGAAATTTTGACTTTCTAGTGTTTTGTATTTTATGGGCAATTAAGACAAAGTTTACTGCTTTCACTATTATAAAAACCAATTTTATGACTTTAGTATTACAAATAGTTAGTTTAGTGAATTTGCTATTACAAAAAATAATTTTTATAACTTTAGCATTACAAAAAATAAATTTGATGATCACCGGTGTAATTAACCCCTTATATTTACGTACGACTCACCTTATTTTATAATCTTTTTTGAATTATATATATGTACATGATCCCTCGTATTCCAACTCCACCTCCTTCCTTCGTACGTGTAAAACAATTTCTACCATAGCGCTTGTAAAGTTTCAAATGCTGAAATAATTAATTAAACGGTTTTTGGCTTCTCACTGTAATTAAGTTTTAGATTTGCTTTCATTATTTTGTCCAAACGCCGAAGCACTACCGCACACTCTTTATGTTTGGTTCACAGACTAATTATGTAGGAATTATAATATAAAAGTTATCTATGCAGTTGATATAATGTAGGATTTGTTAGGGTGATTTGGTAAGTAAGAAATTAAGAATTAATATGTGGTGAGTGCTTAGTTTAAAGACTTTTTGGTCTTTAGTTACTCTTATCTATGAATTGGTAATACGAATTCTCTTATCCCACATAAAATAACAGAATCCCGAATCAAACGATTGTAAGATTAAAGAAGTTTTAGAATCTTATTTTAATTACTGGAATAGTCATAACAAAAAGCCAAATATGTTGCTTGTGTTGTGATAGGTTCCCGTTTATCCTTAAAAATGAGTAACAATTAAATTTGTACGCGATTTAAAGGTTACGTGATTTAATTCAATAAGAATGATCTGAGAACAGTAAATAATTAGATTAGAGAAAGAATAGACAATCAAACCAATCGTAATGGAACAATAAAGCCTAGTCTCAAGTTGAACACTAAATTCGGCCTCGATCAAACCCTCGATAGGGATCGGTTGCAATTAAATAAGAGAATAACTGAAGAAAACTTTGGATAATAGCTAGAAAACAAAAGAAAACTTTTATTGCTTTGATATGCGTGTTAAAAGTGTGTCGGAATGAAAAAATTCTTCCCTTTATATAGTAAGAGAATTTCAATCCTAGTACATGTCTAAATAAGGTAAAAAATTTCTTTTCCCAGTAAATGTCGATCCGCAGTTAATATCGGATGGGATTTGCACCGTAATATTTGGTTGAGCGTGAATATCACGGCTCCTGATCAACCGTTAACTTTTTCCCGTGGTCTCGAAACGGTACTTGGCCCGGATCCGTTGTTTAGCGTGCCCGATCCAGATACATCGTCCATCCCTCCCAAGATCTGATACGAGGGACACTTCGGCTTCGCTTGAAGTTGTGTTGGACCGTGCGTCCCTCTCGTCTCGATTTTATCCGTACACAGATAATCTCCTCACTTTTCGGAGAGCAAATTTATCGCAGCGACGAGAAGTGATTAATTGACCCATGTTCCTTCTTTCGTACGCTACAATCGGGTCGTCGGGTCAGTGAAACATCTCATCAGTCGTGTCGTTCTAACTTCGAACACGTGTCAGCCACCGGTTGACCTTCTCGGATGCAAAACGTCACGTATTAATTATCTCTTCTCTATCAATTCTTCGGTCCTTTTTTTACTTTTTTACTTTCCGATTTCAGAACTCCTCAGTTTACCCCCAAACTTTTTCACTTGTTTTAACCCCTTCAAATCTTCATACATTGTTCTTTATACCTTCATATATTCATCTTCCCTTCTTAAAATCTTCATACTTCATTCTCAAACCTTTAAATTTGACCTCCAAATCTTCATTCTCGACGTCAAATCTTCATACTTGCCTTCATTTATTCATATTTCCCAGAACTCGTGGCGAGGACTTCGAAATCCGTACCTCAATAGACCATTCCTTCAACTTCTAACTCGGGCACAGATACTGAGGTAGTCTTACCTGAAGTGGCCCCGGAACCTCCTCTAAAGAACTTCACCCCCAGATGTTACTCTATAGAAAATGACTTCAAGGTCGAAAAAGCTTCCAGTCAACAGGATTGGGGCGAGGAGTTATGAAGGTATATATGCTCCATTCCCGAAGACACGCTCCATAAAGTTCGAGAGGACTGAAAATGTGAGGTCAAAGAAGTGGTCGTCCCTAGTACAGATGAGTACATCACCAAACATGTGGAGGGGTATCTAAGTGTTTACATATATCCCTTCACACTTGCCCCGATGGATCCCATAGTCCTCGACTTTTACAAAAGGTGCTAGGTTTGCCTCGGGCAGATTCACCCTTATTTTTGGAGGATTGTGATCCTCCTCCGTCACTTTGTTAACAACATTGAGACACCCTGATTTACCATCGACCACCAGCTTCATCTCTACAGTCCCCGAGTCTTCAACGAGGGATTAATCAAGCTAGTTCGTCAGGCAAGGAAGGATCCATTTTTAGCAATGATGAAGATAGAGA